CCTGTGAATCCGGAGAGGGGAGTTTTGATGTGCTGAAGGGACCCCATATCAAGTTCCAATTCCCGAAAGGTGCTGAGATACATTACGTTGACAGAACTCCCCGTGTCAACATAAGTCCGAAGGATGATGTCGTTGTTGATCTCCGTGCGGATGACGAGGGCATCCCTGTGAGGAAGGGAACCCGGGGGCAGATCCGCGTTCGTGAAATAGATAGGATCTGCCCTCGGCCTCTTGGTTGGGGGCATGTGGTTGACTTCCCCAACGTAAAGGGATTGAGCCCACTTCTTTCTTTGGCTCGTGGAGTCGCCTCCGGTGTTACCGACGTTGATCATGTGAATGTGGCGCTTGTATTGTTGTTGGGAATCCTCCTCCTCACTGAGGTTCCCAATCTCACGCTTCCTCCCTTGTGGATTTCCCAAGGGGATGGTGTTTGGGTTAACCCACTTGTTGGCCTTCGGCGGGGGCCCTTGGTGATGAGGGGGCCCCTGACAAATTGAGATAAGTGGCCCGCTTGTATCAGCCTCTCGATGGCCATCTTTAATTGATGGCAGTCATCAGTCTTGTGCCCATGGTGGTGATGAAAACGGCAGTAAGGTTCGTCAGGGTTGATGGCATATATCTCGAGGGGTGCACGGGAGTCTCGCTCCACGAGGCCTCGCTCTTCCGCATAATCCAAGATGATACTGACCGGGTGCGTCAGAGGAGTGCATGGATGTTCCAGGAGGGTGGGTTGTGCCCATGCCCCCGGGTTGTTCTTGTAGCCGCCCCCGGTTCTGGCTTGGCCATTTCGAGGGCGATCGTTGTATTGCGCCTCCCAGTTCGCCGGAGGGGGTGGGCCCCCGGGGCGATTTCTGCCTTCATGTTTTTGAGAAGGCTCCGGATTACGGCGATCCTTCTCGATCTCCTTGGCCTCGGCGTATCGGTCCCCCCGCTGGAGGGCCTTTGTATAATCGCGGGGGGGGGGGGGGGGGCAGTAATGAGGCTCCTAGAGAAATTACCGTTGCGGAGGACGGTGTGGAAGAGGGCCATCAAGGTCCTGTCGTCGGCCCCGTCGACTTCGATGGAGGCCTGCCTCCAGCGTTCAAGGAAGCTCCGAAGGGTCTCCTCCTTCTGTTGCCTTACGTTCAGGAGGTGGGAGAAGTGTTTCTTTGACCGGTGCCTCCCGGCGAATTGTGTGAGGAAGCGGTGGGCAAGTTCCTGCCATGAATCTATGCTGCCCTCGGGCAACCGGTTGAACCATTCATACGCTGGCCCCTCCAAGGTGGAAAGGAACCAACGACATAAATATTCATCCGATGCCCCCATCATCATCATCATCATGCTGTTTTGATACCTGCTGTAATGTTCTTGGGGATCCGTCTTCCCCTCATATGGTTTGATGGGTTGCCCTCGGTACTTACTGGGGATCTGAGTAGCCAGCACCCTTGGGGTGAAGGGAGTCTTTGTGCGGAGTTGGATGAGGGGTTCGCCTGAGCCTTCGGCGAGTTTGCGTTTCATCTCCTCCATTTGTGCTAGAATGGCGGCATACTTTGGATCTGCCTCCAAAGTCGAAGCGGGAGGCGTTTGGCGTGCCTCCTTCTCCTCCAGCTGGCGGCGGAGGGCCGCGATAATTTCATCTTTGTGACCCCTCAGGGTTGCCCCTTGAGATTTCGCCCTAAATGATTGGGCGAGGTTGATCTGGTGCCTGGCATCATTGGCGTGGAGGAGGCCTTTGCCTTTATCCCGAGGGGGAGATCTCTCTTCTGCCCCGGAGACGGAGCCTCCACTCTCCTGAGGTTTGCTGACTGCCTTGCCACCGAGGCGGTCTTGGACCCCTCGGCGTCCAGGGGCTTCTCCCAACCTCTCGAGGGCAGAGGTTCGGGGCTTCTCCTTGTTCACGTGTCGCCTGTCCTTGGACTGAGCCTCATCCGAGGCGGTATCCTGCGCCATGACCCCCTCGGCGTTGCCAACCCGCATGATGGGATTGTTGAACAGAGGAGGGGGGTGACGGAGAATGGACAGCATTCCCTCCGAAATAGGGTTGGAGGGGCGCCTGTGAAATGAAGGCACCGGAATTCAATGCCATATTTTGGACGAAGGCCGCCTGAAGGTCGATGGTTGGAGCCGAAGGGGGAACTTGGTTCTCACTTCGGTCCTTCCTTCGACTATCAAGGCCGATACGGGCATCGGGGGCTGCCTTCTGCAGCTGCTGACGGAGGTCAGTAGCGGCCTGTTCCAATTCGAGGATAGTACCGCCTTCGGGTACCAAGAGCCTATTGGAGGCTTCGGCCCCGTTGGTTTTGCCGGGGGCTACGTGGTTCTCCTCGAGGGTTTTGGACTGACCACGAGTTCTTCCCATTTTGGTAGGTGTTTTGGTGTTTGGTGAAGGGGAGGGTTTCTCACTTGATTGTTTAGACCTCTCAACGAGAGCACCAAATGATGGATAGTGTACCCGGGGGGTAGCTTATCCGAGGGGTTATTATGAGAATAACCTAGAGAGAAGTCAGAGCAAACAAGTAGGAGAGAGAGTCGATTGTATTAAATGAACTCTGCGTGCTTTACAAGGAGAATAAGGGCTGCTATTTATAGCAGCCATAAATGCGATGAGGGTACACGTGTCAACAATCTGACGGCCGAGGGTCACCTCAATCGGGGTGGCAACGGCAAAGGCATGTGCACCGCATTAAATGCGGTGGTTGGACGTGACGCCGCATTGAATGCGGTGGTTGCTTGTCTCCAGAGGAAGCTTCGTGGAGCGTAGATCCCGCGGCCAGGGACATATGGCCGAAGGGTGTTGGGTAGCCGAAGGCACCATGTGTGTACCGAAGGCTCCTGGTAGCCGAAGGCACCATGTGTGTGCCGAAGGCTCCTGATAGCCGAGGGCTACTGTTTTACGCCGTTTTCTCCCAGTAGCTCAGTGCGCTTAAATCTGGCTGCCCTGTGTAATTTGGAGCCCTCGGCCAAGGAGGCCGAAGGCACCCCTGTGTGTATTGTGGGCTTCTTGACACTTGGGCTGCTGTATTTGGGCCCTGGGCGTGTCTTGGGCTCATTGGGCCTGTGCAGGAGAAGTAGGAGTCTGTGGGCCGAGGGTCCCTGGGCCATATACTCCATCAAAGACGTCGGACCATGCACACAGGTCCTTCGTCCTACATACCGTCGGCCATTCCTGGGTGTTTCACCGCCTGGGCCGATGCGATATTTAGGTGCGTTGTTTAGGGCAACGGCTTTAGGTGCGTTGTTTAGGGCAACGGCTTTAGGTGCGTTGTTTAGGGCAACAGCTTTAGGTGCGTTGTTTAGGGCAACGGCTTTAGGATGACGCAATTAACGTCTAGGGGAATGAGGTGTATCGTTTACCGCTTTTAGGCATAATGCCGTGTGCGGCCGATGATGGCTCTCATTCTAGATGCCCAGGTCATCAAATAAAGATGACCGGGATAGGTCAAGGGACCCAAATAAAATCCGGGTTATCAAATAAAGATGTTCGGAAGGTTGGGGTTTTGGCCCGCACCAATTGGGGATTTAATCCGCTAGCAATGGTGGTGATAATAATAATAGTACGGAGTAGTAATCATCATTATTATTTTTTTTTCTTTTGAATAGTAGTAAAACTGTTATTTTTTTTGTTGAATAGTAGTGAAACTACTTTGCTCCATATTTAAAGCATAAAATAGGAGGAAAAGTTTGTGGCACTTACTTGTATTTGGGCCGAAGCCTGTGATATTTAGAATTTCAACAGGTTGTAGAGATTATTTCTGGCAAATGGGCTTGCTCCATAAAGAATCCAGTGAGATTAATAGTCGGCCCTTATTTCTACCAGCCCATTACTTTAATTAAGATGCCGGTCCCAGATCCTGCCCGCTTGTTAATTAAGTAATTGTCCAAGATAGGAGTAAATTATAAGATTAATTCCAAAATAGGATCTTATAAATTTTATTCCCAAAATAGGAGTTCCAATTCCAAATATACCCTTTCTTCCCTATCTTTCCGATTCGTAGCAAACTAGATCTCCCCTGCCCCATTTCTTTTTTCCTCTCTCCACTTTCTTCCTCCCCACTCCTTCCCTGCTCTAGCATCTCTTTCGCATCTCCTTATCCTTCATTTTTTTCTCCACAATTCCAGCGGCCGGTGGATGACGATCGTCGGAGGTAAGTTTCTTCTTCTTAATTTCTTTTCTTCTTCCTCCTCCTCTTTCTCTTTTTCTTCCTCCTCCTCTTTTTCTTCTTCTTTCTCCTCCTCTTCCTTTACTTCGTCCTTCTCTTTCCCTCATCCTCCGGTTCGTCCTTGTCCTCCACTTTCTTCATTTCTTTAATTTTTTGCTATACTTTGTTGATTTTACTTTTTTAAATTTGAGATATAAAATGAAAATTGTTGTTTTAGATCTGACATTTTTGGATTCGAAAATCACAGGCTCAAACGATTTGTTATTTTAAACTCTTGGATCTATTTTTTTATTTCAATTAATTAATTTTTATTCAGAAAATGAAATAATATTTTTTAGAGCTTTTTCAAAAAATATTAATTTGGAAATTAATGTCATCTGGAAATGACAATATCAACAAAGTATAGCAAAAAATTTAATCTTTAACAATAAGATTATAATTTTTGACATGAACTTCAAAAAATTTTTTTATAACAACAAATTATATTACTTTTATAATTTTTGTGGCATTAATGAAAATATTATTTCTTTGTTAATGCAATAATAATAATAGCCTATTTGCACATATTAATTATTTCCACACTTAGTGCCATTGTTACGTCATTAATGTTGCACCGTTAAAAAACAATGTCATTAATGTTACAAATATGGCAATATAACTTCTTTAATAATACATTAATGCCATGTTTTTAATCCGATAATGCCATCTTATTTTATCAGGATGACAATAATGCTATTAATATGTCAATAATGTTATTAAGATGACAATATATAAATTATATGATATTTATAACAAATCACAGGTTTAGACCAAATATTGGCCATGGTAGGTGGTGGATGAAACCACCAGTGGCTATGGTGGCGGTGACATAGGTGGTGGAGATGGCACCATGGAGGCAGTGGCGGTGGAGATGGTAACAGTGGTGATGGCAGAGGTGGCGGCCAGTGGCGGAAGAGTTTTCGTTGGTGATAACATGTGTGGCGGCAACAGGGATAGAGAACCCGACTGCAGCTGCAGCAGATGACGAGGCCTACGACGGCTGTGCGGGTAGAAAGGCGGTGGCAGAAAGATTGAGGAAAAATTATGGATTTTTTTGCATCGCCGGATCTCCGGCGACCAGCGGCGGCGGTGATAGGTGGCGGGATTCTGGATGTTGTGCCAAGTCCGATGGATCTCCGGCAGCTGGCGGTCGCCGGTCGGTGGTGATGAAGATGGCTTGCGGCAGTTGCTGTTGGGGATTGTGGTAGGTGATGACTAGTGCAGTGGTGTGTGAGCTTCGTACTCCTGCGGAGAAGATGACCTGCACCAGATGCATCAGTTGGATGTGACTTTTAATTTTTAAAGGGCAAATAGGTCAACTCATGTTAGTTTCACTCCTACTCCGTATTTATAAAAACTAGAGTCCTATTTATGCATTTCTTGGCTTATTTACTCCTATCCACGGAATTTACTCTTGTTAATTTTATCCGCAGGGGAGAAGTTTGTTGGCAGGAGTGGAGCGTGAAACAGTGATGAGGAGACTCCCTTGTGCCGCTGGAGTCCGCTGGAGTCCATTGTGGACGAGGACGCCCCCGCTGTGCCGGCCGTCGCGGAGACAAGATGCGAGGCTGCTTCCAAGATGAGGTGTGCTGTTACTCTTCCGTCGCCTAGCCAGAGACCACAACTGGCCGGGGGGGTGGGCGTCTTGCCGCCGATGAGAACTGGCCGAGGCGGCCCCTCTGATGGACGACGGTCCCACTCCGGCCGAGGGGTCCAAGATTTAGTCGCCGATGGGAGCAAGGGATGAGGGTGGACATGGGTCCTGCTTCACCCGACCGATGTGGAGCCCCTGTCTTAGCTGAGGCCGAGGCGTGGTGGACGAGGGCGACACCTCCTGCTCTGGCTGAAGGGTTGTCCTCTCTGTTGTTTTTCCGAGGCGACCAGGCTTTGGCCGATGTGGGGCTTTGCCGAGGTGAGACCCCTGCTGTTCCCAGGACGAGGGCTGCCTTCATCGGTTGCTTCATGCCTTGCTGTGTTCAATCGAGTGGTCGAGGCGTTGCGTTCTTTAATTGCTTGGCCGGTGTGGGGACCACTGCAGCAGTATGGCCCGACGATGCTGCCGGTCGATGATGTCGCCGGCCGATGCATGCTGGCCGATGATGTCGCCAGCCGAAGTGTGATGGCCGATGCCGAAGTGTGACGGCCGATGTGTGCTGGCCGATGAGGCATTGTGGCCGATGGTGTGCCATTTTGGACGATGAGATGAAGCCGATGGATGTACCCCTTGCCGGTTGAGTTTGATACGAGGTGTATTTGTCTCGTCCGTTCAAGTTTGGCCGAAGTGTACAGGGGGAATGGAGTTTGTTTGGCCGCAATTGTGTGCCGAGGCTCTGTATTCTTCGATCGTTTTGGCCCAGGGCACTGCCTTGAGGGCAGAGGACAATGCGACCACCACGTTTGCTTGTTGGACGAGGGGCGGCCGGAGCCTGCTGTGGTGTCCTGGACGAAGGGCCAGATGTAGGGCCGAGGCGGCGCTCACCGACGCAGGGCCTTGGTCGAGGGAGTCATCCGGACGATGTGTTGCTGGCCGATGTGTTGCGGCCGATGTATTTCCGGCTGATGGCGTGCCGCAGGCCGACGTTGTCGCCGTCCGATGGATGGTGAGGAGATGCTGCCCGTGGCCGAGGCACTACCAGTGTGTTGTTGAGAGGCACCCTCCCTGGCCGATGGGGTTGCTGCCACAGACAACTCAGCCAAGGCCAAGGGTGATTGTTTATTTTGGCCGAAGGTGGAGCCTTCCTGACGATTGATGTTGTGGCCGAAGCTATCCAATATTCGTAGTTTAAGTTGACCTTGCCGTCATGTTCAAGTGGTGGGCTATCAAAGAAGGAGGCACTGTGAGAAAGAACGGACACATCTACAGGACTGCCATGAATTGGAACTGAATTCAGATCCTCCAGAAATACATTCAGGTATGAGTAATTCTTGTCATGAGAGTGCTACTGGTATATATGATGATCTGCCTATTGCTTTGAGAAAGGGAGTTCGTGTTTGTACTAAACATCTCATTGGCAATTTTGTGTCCTATAAAACGTTATCTCCATCCTATCAAGCATTTGTTTCTACTCTTGATAGTGTACATATTCCTCACACAATTGAAGAAGCACTGAGTGATCCGAGTTGGGAAAAAGTTGTACACGATGAAATGAGTAAAGGGTCAGTTTGGTCCTCGAAGTTGCAAAAAAGACGTCAAATAAGTCCTTACATAGAAGATTTTGTCCGGACGTGCCATTTGAGGTGGCTCCCGGTGGAATTTTGTGATAATTTTTTTTGAGCATCTTATTCATTAAGTCTAGTTTACTCATACCAAATTTCAGCTAAAAATTCAATCGGGAAGACATTCAAATGAATTCTTGAAGATAACAGCGCTTTTAACGGCACAGTTATCTTCAAGAATTCATTTGAATGTCTTCCCCATTGAATTTTTATCTGAAATTTGGTATGAGTAAACTAGACTTAATGAATAAGATGCTCAAAAAATTTCATCAAAAAATTCCACCGGGAGCCACCTCAAATGGCATGTCCGGACAAAATCTTCTATATAAGGACTTATTTGACCCCTTTTTTGCAACTTCGAGGACCAAACTGACCCTTATCCCACGATGAAATGAATGCTTTGGTGAAGAATGGGACTTGGCACATAACGGATTTACCATCTGGAAAGAGACCAATAGGATGTAAATGGGTATTCACCATTAAACATAAGGCGGATGGTGGCATTGAGAGATTTAAAGCTCGCCTTGTTGCTAAGGGATTCACCCAATCTTACAGGATTGATTTTCAAGAGACTTTTGCTCCAGTTGATAAGCTCAATACCATTCGCGTTCTACTATCCGTTGCTGCAAATAGAGACTGGTTGTTGCACCAACTAGATGTGAAGAACACTTTCTTGAATGGTGACCTGGAAGAAGAAGAAGTGTACATGGATATTCCACCCGAATTTGAGAGTTCATCCAACCAAAACAAAGTATGCAGACTGAAGAAATCTCTATATGGCCTTAAGCAATCTCCACGAGCATGGTTTGGAAAATTCACTAAATCAATCATTAAAAATGGTTATATTCAATGTCAAGCAGGTCACATCTTGCTTGTGAAGCACTCACAAGATCAAAGGATAGCTGTATTGATAGTTTATGTTAATGATATAATACTCACAGGTGATTTCAAGGAAGAACTGGTAAACTCGAAAAGTTTCTTATCAAGGGAATGTGAGATAAAAGATCCCAGTTATCTTAAATATTTTCTTGGCATGGAAATTGCACGATTAAGACATGGCATTTTTGTTTCTCAAAGAAAGTATGTTCTAGACTTACTCAAGGAAACAGGAATGCTCGAGTGTAAACCAGCCTCAACTCCAATGGATTCTAACAAAAAGATTGGCTCGGAGACAGGCAGAGCATGCACCTGTGGACAGGGGGAGATATCAAAGGCTAGTGGGACGACTTATATATTTATCTCACACTAGACCTGATATTGGTTTCCCTGTAAGTGTCATAAGCCAATACATGAATAATCCAACTGAGGAACACGTGGAAGCTGTTACAAGAATCCTTAGATACCTCAAGATGACTCCGGGAAAAGGTCTCCTTTTTAGGAAGAATGAAAATAAAGAATTAAAGATATTAGAGTCTACACGGACGCAAATTGGGCAGGAGATGTAACTGATAGAAGGAGTACTTCAGGTTACTGTTCATATGTTTGGGGGAATTTAGTAACATGGAGAAGTAAGAAACAGTCGGTCGTTTCTAGAAGTTCAGCTGAAGCAGAATTCAGAGCTCTAGCTCTTGGCATATGTGAAGGGATGTGGCTGAAAAGATTACTTGGCGGGATGGGAGTATTTAAAGAAGGGCCTATACAAATGCTTTGTGACAATCAGGCTGCTATTAACCTTGCCAAAAATCCAGTCCATCACGACGAAACTATGCATATTGACATAGACAGATGCTTCATTACCGAGAAAATAGAGAACTCTATTATTCAAACCTGTTATGTCCCATCAAAATTTCAAACTGTTGACATTCTTACAAAAGCTCTACCGAGAACTGTTTCTGAAGAATTAATTATCAAGCTTGGGATGTTTGACATTCACAACCCAGCTTGAGGGGGAGTGTGGATTTATTTCCTGATTTAGAGAATAACTAACGCTGCACCTTAGATCTGATTTTGTATTAATTACCAGTATCATGCAATTTATTCTTTCTAGAAATAGGATATTCTATTATTTAGATTAGCAGATTGTATATTTAATCTCTTAGATCTCGCCTCAATAGGCCGTATAAATATCCTATCATTATGAGATTATAATATATAAAAAATATTCAGAACTTTCACACTATGCAAATCATAACGAACAATGGAAAACAGTTCGACTCCGAGCCCTTCAAAGATTTGTGTGGGCAATGGGGAGTTGAGGCCAGTAGAGCGTCTGTTGCTTATCCTTAATGCAACAAACAAGTGGAAAATGCAAACAGAACAATTGTCAATGACATAAAAAGAAGCTAGAGTTCATGAGAACGACCTGGGTGGACGAGCTGAACAACATACTCTAGGCATAACGAACAACTCCACGAAAAGCTACTGGTGAGACGCCTTTCGCTTTGACCTATGGTTTTGAGGCTTGGGCTCCGTTTGAGGCAATTGTGCCAAGCAGGAGGATGGAAGAATACGACCCTGAGAGCAACGAAGAAATGCTAAGAGTCGAGCTCCACCTAATTGAGGAAAGAAGGGATTGAGCATTCATCAGAGCTGAAAACTACAGATGTCAGGTGAAAGAATACCATGACGCCAAGGTTAGATCAGGGCAGTTCGATGTTGGAAATTTAGTCTTGAGAAGGAGATCTGTTAGCAAACCTCTATAAGGAGGAAAATTCGCCAAGAATTGGGAAGGGCCCTATAAAATCAAAGGGATAGTTGGGCATGTGACTTACAAATTGTGTACTCTTAATGGGAAGCTGGTAGACAAGGTTTGGAACTCTGAACACTTATTGAAGTTCTATCAGTAAGTATGTCGTAGTTCTTTCGAAAAAAAATAGAGTTTGTAATAAAGTTTTGTTTTTAGTTCACAGATATCCTTTACACTTAATTAACCAGACTTGCGAAAGGTTTCTTAATTAACCAGGGTATAAAAAAAAGGAAAGGCCATGCCTAACTGGTACTCACAAAAAGACAAAGTATAGTTCAGACTCATCTAATTCTAGAAGCTCACCCTAATCTTACTAAAGATGAGAGCCAGAATAAACAACCTTTCCCAAGGTTAAACAATCTTCATAAAAATAATCAGATTTTCCCAACGGGAAAAGACAACCTTGTTCAAGGTTAAGATTGATTTTACAAGGCTAAAGATGAAGCTTGGGGATTCCAAGGCGGCATGGAATGTTCTTCCAGGTGAAGCGCTAACATTGGTATCCAATGATGGTTGCAAGACGATGAACAATAACTCCGATTTTCAAAAGCGCCTGAAAAATTAAAAGAAAATATTGAGAGGTGCGCCTCAATAAGACGACCTCTAGGCCATCTTTCTTTTTTGTTTCCAGCCACCCTTGTCATATGAAAGTGCAGGGGAAAAGTGATATTAGAAAATTCATTTTTAAAAAATAATCCAAACAGATCTGAAAAAATCCAAAGATGGAGGTGGTTTGAATTTCATCTTGACGAGACGCATCTTTTAGTATTGTTTTTTTTCCAATATTTCGAACACTTTTGAAAATTAGAATTACCAGGGGCAGATCATAATGAGGGCAGGCGTGGTTCTAGCCCATCCCAATATTTTTTTTAATCAGTATAGGTATTAAAGGGTAATTCTAAATGCAACCCTCATTTTCTTAAATATATCCAACTAATTGTTTGAAGTACTTATTTTACCTTTTACTAAACTCATCTCTTTGAACCCTTTATTTTTTTTCTTTATCTACGAGCACATGCATTAGATAGTTACCGGAGTATTATATTGGGGGGGGGGGGGGGGATCGGATTTCACAGTCGTGTCCGTCCACAAATCCAACGGTGAACAGAAGTGAACCAAAGGTGTGGCAGTCGCTTTGATTTGGCGCGCTAGTTATGCAGAACCCCAGGCCAACGTCTCTATTACAGACAGGTTTCCGCGCAATTTCCGGGGTATCAATGAGTGCTAACACCTACCTTTACTCCCAGAACCGTCCTCCAACTTAACGCTTCCGATTCAGTCAAGTGCAGAATTATGATTGTTCTCAAGAATTGTTTAAAAACATTTAACGAGACCATTTGTCACCAACATAAGTGGAAAAAAGTTCTGATGAGTTCCAAGCATGTACATTTCAATTCATTTAAGTTCTGGGGCCGATTTAGAGTGAGGGCCGATTCAAAAACAAGTTACACATTTGACTTCATACATATTAAGAAAAGAAATTTGACTTTACTGTGGAGTGCACTGTTTGGCACTGTTTGGACGTTGTTTGGCACTGTTTGACACTGTTTGGAACTGTTTTGATGTAGATAATTTGCCAAATAAGGAAAGGTTTGAAAGTGGAACTTAATTTTGGAACTGCCCGAAAAGGAAAGGTGTAACTTGTTTTTTAATAGGAGGGAGTAGGAAACATAATTATCAACGCCTTATGCAATCTTCTCCCAATATGCTTGTTTGTTTTGAAAGCCTCGTATATCTACAAAATCTACAAAATTATAATCTACAAAATTATAAGAGTGAATGAGGGTAAACCCATTTTAGGTATTAAAAAGTTGTTGGTGGTATAGTTTAGCTTAGTTCAGTTGTACTATGTGGTTAATTATTTGTGCCTTAAATCTCCATTAGAAACGTCGTTTCTCCTCCGTTTAATTTTTCCATACCCCCATCACGGCGCCCACCGCATTGTCATCGACGTCTCTCGGTCCTCGCTATCGGGAGTTACCGAATTGGAATCTAAGCGACAACGAAGACTCCCGGACAAAGGAATCCTGAACCCAAAACATCGCCTCTCCTCTTCACATGCTCTCTTCTCTCAGAAGGTCGATCGCTCATGGCCTGAATTATACAGTTGGTCCATCGGCTCTTGCTTCGGCGGTTCAGCCGCCTCTGCTTGCTACTACCCGAATCCGGAATCCCCTCTGCCTCTTCTACGCATCAGGTTTGTCGGTTAACTCAGTGTGAATGTTTGATTTAAGATAAATTCGAATATTGAATACCGAGTATTGTTTATCCCTTCATCAGCATTTTGGGGGTTTCAGTATTTCCTTGTTGAGTTAAAAAACTAATTAAATTGATGAAAGATTATGATTCAGTAGACCGTTTGTGTTAGCCTGGGTGCTGAAGTGATTATATATTTTCAAATTTATTTGTTTGTTGGTAATTAATCATGTCAATGCTAATTGCATATGATTCTGAATTTCAGGCATTTTATTGTAAATTTCAGTTTTTCGAATTATATCTAACTTTCATATTTTAGTGTTTAATCAGTTGGGTTATTCTCATCCTACCCATTTTGTATCAATTCTTGGTAATTATTTTGTTTTGGACTTTGTGAGTAGATGGCACTACTCTATATTATTGGAGACAAAATAACTGTATACATAATGGATTGTATTGTAAATGATGATATAAAAAAGACCCGCGTGCAGTCAAGGAAATTTACATTTTCCTACTTCCGTATGCATTTTATAATTTGATAAGTGTATTAACAAGTGATCTTCTTTTCCATATGAGCCAAACTCACAATTTTAATAAGTTGTTATAGTATTTCTTATAAGTTGTTATAGTATTTCTTATAAGTGATTCACTAATTAATAAAAATGATATTTCTCATTCTCCCGTCAATATTGAAATGCATAATGGATATGGTGATGATGATAACACTGCTATATAAGTTCTCTGAAGATTATGTAACTACAATCACTGCCTTAGCAACTATCATGCTCTTTATAGGTTCATTTTTCATATCTGTGTTAGACAGAGTAAATGGTTTCTTCCATTCTCTTCTCAGTTTATTAACTGAATAGTTTGGTGTTGAAGAATAAGCTGATGATTTCTTTTGACTTTAGACTCGACAATATTGCTTTCGTTTTTTTAAGCCTGTCAATGATTATGGGAATCTATTTCATTTAAAGTATCTCTATTTTTATTCTTAGTGTTGTAGCACCTCTTATTCTTTATGGTGTACATTGCACCAGATCACTGTTTATTTTTCAATTCAAATTGGAGGAGCATAAATGGATTATGTTCGGTTGAATGAAGTGATTACATAATTCAACAAGTGAATCAGATATGGTTTACATAATATGCCGATAGATGAGCCAATTAGTTCCTATCTACTCTATTTGAAAAGTGAAGTACTTATTTTTGTGGTTATGCAGACACTTGCCTTTAAACAAATCATATTGTGTTGAGATTCACGAGCATGACTGCATGAGACAGCACATTGGGAGCATTATATTGAATGAAAAGTCCTCCTACATAATTGCACTACTTTGTAAGGACCGAGGAGGCATTTTTCCCGCTCATTCTGAAAGGCATTTTAGCCGCAGGATCCCACTAACTGAGATCTTCAGACTACGGATAAGATTTTTTATGGAATCATCCCAGATCAGCCGCATCCCACTTTTCTTGCTCAATCATTCCATCCTCACACCATTTTCAGCCCTTTCTCAGATAGCACAAGATTCTCAAATCGTCCTACATAATTTCTACCTGAGATCTACGGACTGTGACTCAGATTTTTTATGGAATGATCCCAGATCAGCCACATCCCAGTTTTCTTGCTCAAACGTTCCATCCCCACACAATTTTCTGCCCTTTCTCAGATCACACAAGATTCTCAAATCCTCCTATATAATTTCTACCTGAGATCTACAGACTACGACTCAGATTTTTTTATGGAATGATCCCCAGATCAGCCGCATCCCAGTTTTCTTGGCCTGAATAGAATTTAACTACGGAGTATTTTTTTTCGTTTTTCTATGGCCACTTAGGGATGGTGCTTTATAGGGAAGATTAGGGGCTCTGTTTTTTTTCGTTTTTGATATGTTGGTTTTTATTTTTTCTTTATTTCACATATCTTATTATTAAAAAAATCATCACACTTGGTCGAGAGATAAAGTGATCATCCATTTATTTATTTATTTTAGAAACTTTAGTTGTGTGAGTTAAAACTATGTAATTTTCATAATAAGTTCCTTTCGATTAAACAAACATTTTATGTAATCTCTTCAAGTGGGACTTATGGAAGGATTGATATACTCCCTCCGTCCCGAAAAGATGTTCACGGTTTGACATACACACACTTTAAAGAAATAAACTTATGAGGGTGTAAATTTTAATGTTTTGACACTGTTTCGACACTGTTTGGTATTTGACACTGTTTTGCACCGTTTGACACTGTTTTGATGTAGGATAACTTTTCATTTAGGGAAAGGGGAACTTCTTTTTTAGACTGCTAAAAAAGGAAAGCGGAAACTTCTTTGCGGGACGGTGGGAGTACTATTTAGCTATTCGTGAAAACATGTTTAACAACATCAATTTTATTGGGCGTAAATCCCTTGTTAGTACGTAATAGGAATTTAAACAATTACACAATTTGATTAAAACTGTATAGAACACACAAGATGTATGTGTCAATTAGTGACTAGATGTTTATACCTACTGCTCTAGTGCTCTTCATCTTTTGTTAGTACATATAATGTTTATACATTATACTCCGTATAACTTTATATGAAGTACCAGCATTAATACTTTTCCAGAAAATTCCGTGACAGGCTATCTTTTTGTGTTTGATCATGAAAACTGAATTTTATTTTCAATCAAGGATCAATAATTGAAACAAAAAATTTATTGTAAGGAAAAAGCAGTTAATTACTATACGGTATACAATTGTGAAAGTGAACCTCTCTCCGTTAACAGACACTAATATGTACTTTTCACTAAAATTTCATGACGGGTTACTTTTTTATATTTGGATGAGAAAAGTGATTTTTCTTTTCTTATAATGATAGGAATATACGGAGTATTTGTTACGTAGTATGTTTTTAGGGCATGTAAATATGTAATATTTCGTTATCATTCTGCCTGCGGTAAACTCTTGCGTATCAAACACCAATTGTTGGTTTATGAAAGGATATTGCAACAGTGCTTACATAAGGAGCTTCAATGAATAGTAGTGAGTCTTCCCTCTCACAGAAATCTTCGAGATGGTACTCTAACGAATAATATTCAAGTTATATTTGTTGTATCAAGATTTTTACGTGTGTACTCGATCCGCTAAAACTAACCTTTACAAGTCAATGATGCTATCTTTATATTTCCTTCTATCTCTTTTGAGATTGTAACTATAAACTATGGGATTGACGGTGGTGAGTTATATTCCTTTTATGTTTTATCAATCTTCCTTTTCTTCATGAAGTAAATGAGTTTCTTTTGATCTCCATTTAACAATTTCGTAGTATTTGTTTCTCAATAAGTACATATTCATCAATTTGAAGAATCCATAGACTGGCCAAGTCATCTAGAATAATGCCAGGGCCTCAAATATACAATACATTACTTCGCTTATTATTACTTTGTATTTTCTATCAAATTCCAGATTTCATCGGTTAAAAAATCTTCCATTTTTAAAAAGCTTATTACCAACTAATGAAGAATCAATAGACTTCCCAACTCATCAATAATAATGATAGCCGACTGGGCCTCAAATATACAATACATTATTTCGTTTATTAGTAATTTCTAACTGAAATTCAGATTCAACCAACTCAAGAAGATTGCATTTTTAGAAAGCACCTATGTAAATGCACTAACAAATTCAACGATTATACAATACCATGAAGTTAATTGAAGTACGGGTCAACGACGAAATAACTCAAATAACTTTATCATCGAATGACAAATCATAATTTACAATACAATCCATTATGTGTGTTTTTACTCAAGAAACAACTAGGAAGTATCATTGGGCATTTTGTATGTCGCGCAACGCGCGTGTTAACAAACTAGTAAGGGATTATAAGCACTAATCTATATGATTATGCATATAATGATAGAAATAAAAAACTAGTCTTCCAACTTGACAATCTATATGATGACGTCCATTGTCCCGATGGTTGTATCGTGGGCTTCTCTAGTGTCGATGGAGGTAAGGGTTCTGTGGTGAATGGGTAAGGGTGGAAACAGGCCAGACTTTTGCCTAAACAGGCCAGACATGTTTTAGAATTATTAGACCTAAGCCTGACCTGTTACTTGTTAAAGGCCTGTTTTTTCGGTCTGAGCCTGACCTGCTTAAAAGCCTAGCCGGGCCTGAGCCTGTTTAGCGGGCCTTTTAACCCGGTATAAAATTTGTCGCCCAAATATTCACCAAAAAATTCTAATTATACGATAGTTTTGCTTTGAATGTTTAATAATACGTCAGTTTTTTTTAATACGTCAATTATGTAGCTTATAAAGTTTTATTTACTTCAAATCTTGAAAAACTTTGAATTTGAATTACCCTAATAATCTATTAACACACTTTATATATTTGAAATAGCTAGTATTCTAATTTATAATACATACTCCATAAAAATACTATTATGCCTAATTTGCTATAGTTAAGTATACTAATATATAATTATAAATAATACAAATAAATTTAAATATAACTAAATATAAATATGTATGTATGTATATATATATATACATATATATATATATATATATATATATATATATATATATATATATATATATATATATATGCATACATATATATACACATATAAATAGGTCGGCCTGCAAAGCTAAAAAGGCTTCAGAGCTGGGCTAAGCCAGACCTATTTAAGTAAATGTGCTTTTCAAAAAACCCAAGCCTAGCTTGATTATTAAACGGTCAGGCCAGACCAGACCTTAAACAGGCCAGGACACAGGCCCCTGACAGGCCGCCTGACCTATTTACACCCCTATGAATGGGTTTGGAAGCACGTCTTCTTTCGGTGCTTGACTCTTCAACCAATTCCTAGATAGGAGTGAGGATGTCATTATAGTGCCAGGAGTACGAGAAATACTTGAGTCCACGGGCAAATCAGAAGTTCCACCTGTATGAAATACTCCCTCCGATTCATAAAGAAGTTCCACTTTTCCTTTTCAGATAGTTCCAAAATTAAGTTCCACTTTCAAACATTTCCTTATTTGGCAAATTATCTACATCAAAACAGTTCCAAACAGTGTCAAACAATGTCAAACAGTGTCCAAACAGTGTCCAAACAGTAAAAAAGAATGAGAGAGAGTACGTTGTACCGGGTAACTTTTAAAAAAGAATAATGTCCAGCCCACCCAAAATTAATCTCTTGCCTACCCCAAAAAAATTAAGTGGAAATTACCCGCACGGTCAACTTTCGGTGGTAGCATATCGTTTATGATCCAACCAATTTTTCTTTTCATTTTTAACTTATCTATTTTCAATTTCCGTTTTTTATTTCACATTTAGACTGCTTTGGTAATTCCTCCGTATCGATCGCAGATCCAACGAAAAAAATCTCCTCCTCTCCTCTCCGGACTCCGGCTTTTCTCTTCCAACCTCTCCCTCGGCCATCATTCTCATACATTCGACCTCCATCCTCTCTTTTCTTCAATCATTCGCCCCTAGCTATCCTGTATGAAATCCTTCGGCATCCCCTATGCGGCTATGTGAAGCACTCGAGAAGGAGATGCGGCTTGGAGACAAAATCTGCAGCCTCACCCTCGTTGATGCAAAAATTTTTGTTGAGTTGAAAAGTCCGCTACTCTGCTGCAATGATGCTTTTGGCAGGTTTTATCACCACTCTAACAATTGCAATTGGGAGGTCCGAGAGCTGCTGATGCTTTCCTTCGTCGTGGAAGAGAAGGCATAATTTAATTTGCCGATAGATGGTGTGCCTAGCAATTCGAGAATCCCTGCTATTAAAATGGTGAGGTCATTGACTTGTTCTAAAATCATATCACATCTTACCTTTTCATATAATCCATGTATCGGGTTAGGGAACAGAGTAGCTCACAGGTGGAATTGCAGATTTCAAATCTAATTTTTATCATGGGTAAAATGGATCGACATTGCTTCAAACCTTTTTTTTTGTTTTTGTAGTTACAGTTCACAATTTCCTTGTAATTCAAATATTGGAGGATGTTTTGTGGTTTGCTATTCACTTTTTCAGTGGCTAATTGCCTCATATCCCATGAACTGGATCTACATATTACTGTACTAGTATTCCCTCAACACTATCAAACCTAGCTATTGATCCAATTTAGTGTCTCTTTGTTGTATGGACATTGTAAGTCTATGTTTTGTCAATCTCATATTTTTCGGAGTGTGAGCGATGCTGCTGTAAAATTATACGGAGATAAGTCAACTAATTAGATATGAACTCGGCCTGATGCCGCATATACTTAATTTATAGTAGATGGTATCTAAACTACTAATGTCTGATTAATCTTGTTACTTCTTAGGAAATGTGCACATGTAATTGGTCTTGTTAGGTGAAAATAACCATCTGTAGTATTCTGGCATGGATATTGAGTGTTTGTCCTGTGTAAATCCCTAAGCAGATTCCATGGACTTGGAGATGGATCCTTGGGGTGTCTCTTGTGCCAGGCTGTTCCGTGTGATGTTATTCATGCTCGATTCAATTTTAACAACTTTTTATTTTCTATTTTGTTATGTGTCAATTCTCTAGTAATACAGGAAAACCAAACTAAAGTACCAAATTCTTTTGGAGAATGATAAATCAGAACCTACAATTGTTCTTTCGAAAATCGATGATCCTTATCGCTTAGAGGAGGAAATTGATCAGCTGGCCTTAGAGGAAGAAAGCTTTAGAAAGAAATCTATGTGGTGTATGAATTGTACCAAACTCAGGGAAATTTGCACTGTGTTTCTTTGCAATTTTTATATGACAGGTGGCTGGTACATAAACATAGAGGGCATAACGGATGGTTCGAAAGAGGTAGCAGTGTTAACCTTTAAGAACATCA